TGTGGCACATATACACCATGGAATACTATGCAGCCATCAAAAACGATGAGTCCGTGTCCTTTGTAGGGACATGGATGAACCTGGAAACCATCATTCTCAGCAAACTGACACAAGAACAGAAAATCAAACACCGCATGTTCTCACTCATAGGCAGGTGTTGAACAATGAGAACACGTGGACATAGGGAGGGAAGCATCACAGACTGCAGTCTGTTGGGGGGAAATAGAGGAGGGACAGCAGGGGGTGGGGAGTTGGGGAGATATAGCATGGGGAGAAATGCCAGATATAGGTGATGGGGAGGAAGGCAGCAAATCACACTGCCACGTGTGTACCTATGCAACAATCTTGCATGTTCTTCACATGTACCCCCAAACCTAAAATGCAATAAAAAAAATAAAAAATATATTAAAAATAAAAGTGAGAGTTTTTTCCCGTTCCCAACTGCATCACAGAGATGGGAAAATGACACTGGAGAAATTCAAGAAAGTCATTGCTTTAAAGATGAAAGATGAGGGCCATGAGGTAAAGAATGTGGGTGGCCTCTTGAAGCTAGGGATTGCAAGGAAATGGATTACCCCCTAGAGCCTCAGAAAAAAAAAAAACTGCCAACACCTTGATTTTAGCCCAATGAGATCCATGTCAGACTGCTCACCTACTAAACTGTGAAATGAAAAACTTGTGTGTAGTTTTAAGCCTCAAAGTTTGTGGTGATTTGTTATGACAGAAAATGAATATGAAGTCCTATAAAATTGATGTGATAGAAATGGATGACAATAAAACAATTTTTTTAAAAAGACCTCAAAACCCAAGTCAATGTATAATTCTATTCTCACTTTTAGCACTGAATAAATCCTTACTATCACCACTAATAACAGTAATCCCCCAGTTAGTGAGCAATGCAAGAGTATTAGATAATGACAATGCTCATTTTTAATGGGGCACAGGTGTCCTTCTGGACTGATGACAAGTCGTAGCAAATGGATACAACACATCTCAATAGCTACCTTGGAAATACTCCACAAAATCCTGAAACCTTCCAAACTAGAGAAACCACATTTTTACTTTATATTTAGCAAAACAGCAGAGATGCCAACAGAATAAGGATTCTGGAGAGCCTGTTTTAGGAATAAATTCTCCTATTTAAAATAAACAAAATGTTCTAGCTGTAGCCTCCAGACTTACTTTACATAAATGCAGAATTCACCACTAAATTTCAATCATAGTTGAACCTATGCATTTAATTTACAATTAATCTGATATTCCCCAAGGCTGAAATATGACTTTTTAAATTAGTAAGTATTTGCAAAACCTGGTGAAGGTATGACACATAAAGAGACTGAGCTGGGTATATTGTAATTTATTTATTTATACTTTGGGCCTTGTTTCACAAAATATTTAAAGCGGTTGAATGAAAATATGTGTAAACACAAAAAAAGTATAATAACACTGATCAAATAGGACACTCAGGAAAATGTATTCTTAAAAAAAGAAATTCAATTTAACAAATTCCTTCAATAATAACTAATCTAACAGACCTGCAGCCTGTTTGCCATGGCCTTCCAAAAAATGGCTATTCATAAGAATCACATTCAGAAAAACCTTGTTGTTCACGCAATTATGTAAAGCTCTATCAGGAACACTTAAATATGGTGATTCTCAGAGAATACAATAAATCATACTAGAAAGGTTTTTGGGAAGGTAGAGAACAAACACCTGGCAGTCTGAATCAAAGAGAACAGAACTTAGCTGCAGTTACCTGGGTAACTGAACTACACAGATTAAACGAGTAACAAGAGATTGCACACAGGCAATAACTTTTTCCCTGCCTCATCTGCCTCCTAACTCCAAAAACATTAATTTCATGGTCATACCCAATAAAATATGGTTTTTTAAAAATCAGTGCTATAATGAAGTTCACTTCAAGGCCTTTGGAAATCTATAACCCCCAAGAGACCAATCCAAGTCCTTCCAAGGCTGAAGAATCCTTTACATTAAGAAATTAGTGGGGAGAAATTCACACAATTTCTGTCAAACTAAAATAAACTAAACAGAACTAAAGAGAAAACACCTATGGCATATTCATGGAATGGAAATATTTGGAATTCTTATTTCTTAGTGTAATCACATAAATACATTTATTAACATCTCTAATGATGGTTTACTCATTACCTTTTAAACTAAATGCAGAAGTTCTGCTTCCACTTAAAATGTAAAAGCTGCAAAGACCATTAACAATGTAAAAGAGCTCGATAAAATCACAACTTAACCCATGACAGAGCAAGATTGAATGCAAATAACCTGAAATCCAAAGAGAGTCAGTCCTGCACTCCAGTTCCCACCACAGTCTCCCTTGTGGTAGAGCACAAAAGAAAGGCACACAGGTAAGAAACAATCAGCTAAAATTTTAGGGCCAGTGTGACAGTATAAACCTCCTGGGAGGCCCAGGCACATGGGGAGTTCACACTCAATTCACAGGCCATTTTCCACATACCTCCCACCAGATGCTCCCAGAAAAGACTGGAGCAAAGCAGAAGACCAGAAGGCCCCCCCAGAGGGATGCAGGCACACAGGAAAAGGCACAGATAAACACGAACTGTGTCTGGTGGTAAAAGAGAGGAAGAAGATAGAAACCTACAATACTACTCTCCTCTGGGAGCAGGGTAGGAACTAGTCCTAAGCCCAGTATCCTGTACCAATCAAGTTAGAGAGAAAGGCTAGGAAACTTCCCCATAAGGCACACAACAGACAAGTGGTGTCATGAAGAGAAGGAACAGAAATGCTGAGAAAACCCCAACCCCTAAGGTCCAGCTGCACTGGGCCTACTTAAGACTAGGGCTCAGGCTGGGTGTAGTGGCTCATGCCTGTAATCCCAGCACTTTGGGAGGCCGAGGCAGCTGGATCACAAGTTCAAGACCACCCTGGCCAAGATGGTAAAACACCTTCTCTACCAAAAATGCAAAAATTAGCCAGGGGCAGTGGCGAGTGCCTGTAATCCCAGCTACTGGGTAGGCTGAGGCAGGAGAATTGCTTGAACCCAGGAGGCAGAGGTTGCAGTGAGCCAAGATCGCGCCACTGCATTCTAGCCTGTGTAACAGAGCAAGACGCCATCTCCAAAAAAAAAAAAATTAGGGCTGGATTTATAAAAAAGACTCCCTCCCACCACCCAGTACCAGGAATGGATGTCTACTGCTAGGAAAGGGGGCAAAAGAGTGACCCAACCCACCCCTGCCACTGAGGCACAGCTGCACAGGGAAGGCAGAAAACTGAGCATGGAACAGGAGCACTGAGAAAAACCCTCCAGCAACCCAGCCCCCACCCTAAGAACAAGATAACTACAGAAATTGGAAGCTGGTGGTAACCATGGCAACAACAAAACCAAAACCTAGCTCAACTCCTGACTAGATTGACTCAACGCTCTGACAGATGAAGAGGCATGCCTGTTTGCAGGCATAAATATTATTTACATCAGTCCCTACACAAGAGATACGGCATTCAGATATCTGACACAAGCAAGAAAATAAACCCACTGTCAAGAGAGAAACAAAACCAGACTCAACCCAATGGGTTTTTTAACAATCAGGATCTGCTACTGGCAAATAGAGGATATGTTTTTGCACATACGCAGGGGAGAGGGGAGAGCCAGAAGGAAACAGACAAGAGAAGCTAGCACATGCTCCTCTACTCCATTCAGATACTGATAAAAAACAAATCTAGCCATGAAAAAAACATTATTTAGTATATTATAAAATCAATACATAAAATAAAAACTACAACTAAAATTATGAATACTATAATTCTCATCAAACTACTAAATACCTCTCATTGTCAGACATGAAATAAACCATCTGTTTATAAATTTTCATGGTGCTTTTCAAAAACCTAGAAAGCATTTCTTGTGCTATGCTTTCCAGGTTTTTGAAAAGCACATTTAAAACCATACTGGAATAGAACTTGGGGTTGAAACATTTCTAGGGTATAAATGAAAACAACATTTAAAGATAAAACATTCTTGAAATAATTAGTATCCCCAATAAACAACTACGTTTACCAACCAGAAAGAAAAGACAAAGCCCAATAGAAAAACAGGCAAAAGGCATAAGCCAGAAATACAATGAAGAACATGGTGGCTCACACCTGTAAAACCAGCACTTTGGAAAGCCGAGGTAAGTAGTTCACTTGAGGTCAAGAGTTCAAAACCAGCCTGGCCAACATCGTGAAACCCCATCTCTGCTAAAGCTACAAAAATTAACAAGGCATAGTGGTGCATGCCTATAATCCCAGCTACTGGGGAGGCTAAGGCAGGAGAATCATCTGAACCCAGAAGGCAGATGTTGCAATAAGCCGAGATCACACCACTGCACTCCAGCCTGGGCAACAGAATGAGACTCCATTTCAAAAGAAAAAAAAAAATACAGTGAAGAAACACAAATAAAGATTTATAGTATCCATGGTTGTTTGGCATGTGGAAAACTGGCACTCCTCACTCATTACTCTAAGTGGGGATGTAAACTGGTACAAGCAGCACTCCCACACCTTAACAACAACAACAACAAAATCCAGGCACTATTGACGCTCAAAGGAAGCCTCCTTTCTTGTTACATTTCTGCCACCTAGCTATTCATCTTATATTCAAGGCAAATCAGACTATGTTTGTATCTCTATCATTCACTTTCATGTCTCCGCACTACCAAAATACCTTTCAACCAATTCTCCTGCAAAATTCTTTTTTTTTTTTTGAGTCTCACTCTGCTGCTCAGGCTGGAGTGTAGTAGCATGATCTTGGCTCACTGTAACCTCCGCCTCCCAGGTTTAAGCGATGCTCATGCCTCAGTCTCCTGAGTAGCTGGGATTACAGGCATGCACCACCAAGCCCAGCTAATTTTTTTGTATTTTTAGTACAGACAGTGTTTCACCATGTTGGCCAAGCTGGTCTCGAACTCCTGACCTCAGGTGATCCATCCGCCTCAGCCTCCCAAAGTTCTGGGATTACAGGCGTGAGCCAACATGCCCAACCCCCTGCAAAATTCTATTTTTCAATACCCAGCTCATATACTTCTTGCCCTAATCTTCCCCAGAAGGAATTGACATTTCATCTGTGATCACACAGCACTTGATCCAATCCTCTAATATGATAAAGCAGTCATATCAATCAGAAGTTATATCACAGACATGTGTTAACTCATAATATATGAATATCATATTTGTATATAATAATATATAGAGAGCTTCTACATATCAATAACAACAAAAAATTAGAATAGGACATGAACAGAAAATTCACAGTAAAGAAAATATAAATCGCTCTTAAACATGTGAACAGGTATACGACCTCATTGATAATAAAAGACATATAATGATGCTATGTATTACCTATAAAATTGTCAAAGATGAAAAAACTTGACTACATTACACATGAAAAAATAGGCATTCTAATAATACTTGCTGGGAAGAATACTTGCAAGATTTCTATGAAGGCAATTTGGTATTTCCTATCAAAATTATTAATGCAAACATCCTTTGAGCCAACAATTCTATTTCTCGAGAGTTTACACTACAAGCATATTCATTGTATTTGACAGGATCTATATGCATGATTATTCAGTGCAGGATTATCTGTAATAGCAAAAGACTGGAAAGAAAAATGTGCATCAGTAATAGTTACATAAATCATGCACTATATCTCACACAATAAAATGCAGTTAAAATGTCTAGACAGCCCTATATAAAACTATTTCCAAGATACACCGTTAACTAAAAAGCAGGCAGTATGCAAAATTAGTAGGTATAGTACACTACCATGTAGGTAAAACACAAATAATATATCCATGTACTTATATATGCACAGACCATTACAAATGAATGGCAAAAGGACCGAGTGGGAAGAAGACCAACTTTTCACTGCATACCATACTTACCATGAATATCTTTTATCTTTTACCATGAATTATCTTTTATCTACTCATAGAGTTAACTAGCTCATTTTAATTAATTCATTTAAAACAAAAAGCAATTGCTTATGTTGCTGTCAGTTCACTGTGAAAAACCTCAAAGACAGAGGAACAGAATATGTGCCCTGTTCATCTTCATATCATCAACATTTCGCAGTGCTAGGTCTATGGCAGACGCTCAACAAAGTATGCTAAATAGGAGGCAACTGGGCCAGGCGTAGTGACTCACGCCTGTAATTCCAGCACTTTGGGAAGCCGAGGCGGGCAGATCACAAGATCAGGAGTTCAAGACCAGTCTGGTCAACATAGTGAAACGCCATCTTAACTAAAAATACAAAAAGTTAGCCTACTGTGGTGGTGTGCGCCTGTAATCCCAGCTTCTCAGGAGGCTGAGGCCAGAGAATCGCGTGAACACAGGAGGCAGAGGTTGCAGTGAGCCAAGATGGCCCCATTGCACTCCAGCCTGGGTGACAGGGCAAGACTCCACCTCAAAAAAAAGAAACAAAAAAAAGAGGCAACTGACACACAGTCGCCTGATATTCAATTAAGTTTACAAAAATGAGAATATATTAAGCAAAAATTTATAGTCAGTAAAAACTTTCAACCCTTTAGTTTTCGTTTTGGGTATCACATAACCTAAGGACTGTATTCCAGCAAATTTCATCATAAAGTAAGATTTTTGTAAGTAAGGCTTTACAGATCCTATCCTCCAAAGCCAATCATTCTATTATTATATATTAACCATGAAGAGTGTGATAGCTCTGAAGTCAGACAACTTAGGCTGAAATCCTTTTTCCAACATATTCTAGTTGTGTAACTTTGAACATATTCAAAGTTATCTTTCATTCCTTCACCAGTAAAACACTTACAATAGTATATATACATCAGAATGTTGTGAAATTTAAATGAACTAATATATGATGTATGCTTTGTATAGTGCCTAGCACAAAGGTAGCATTCTGTAGATTTTAGCTATTATTATCCTAGAGCTTTTTAGCAAGAACCCAGTTCCTGCTCTTGGAAATACAAAGTTAAGAGAACAAATTTCATTCCTTTACATTTCTACATGTTCAAACTCTACATAAAATAAATTTTTTATTTTATTTTTGGTATGCAGTCTCCTCTGTTGTCCAGGCTGGAGTGCGGTGGCATGATCTCGGATCACTGCAACCTCTGCCTCCCAGGTTCAAATGATTCTCCTACCTCAGCCTCCCAAGTAGCAGGGATTACAGGCACACAACCACCAAACCAGCTAATTTTGTATTTTTGGTAGAGACGGGATTTCAGCATGTTAGCTAGGCTGGTCTTGAACTCCTGACCTCAAGTGATCTGCCTGCCTCGGCCTCCTCCCAAAATGCTTGGATTATAGGCATGAGCCACCATGCCCAGCCAAATAAAGTTATACCCTTATATACGATGCAAATCTGAAATCTTACTATGTAATCATAGTATGGATAATCTTCTAACACATGATGTATAAAAAGCCCCTAAAAGGGATTATGGGCACGTATCACCACGCCTGGCTAGTTTTTTTTTTTTTATTATTTTTAGTAGAGACAGGGTTTCACCATGTTGGCCAGGCTGGTCTCAAACTTCTGACCTAAGGTGATCCACCCACTTGAGCCTCCCAAAGTGCTGGGATTACAGCCTGTAATCCCAGGCTTGAACCCAAGAGGAGCATAGCATAGCATAGCAGAAGAGAAGAGAGTACAAAATAAAATAAATTTATATTATTTTATGTAAAGTTTGAACATGTAGAAATGTAAAGGAATGAAATTTGTTCTCTCAACTTTGTATTTCCAAGAGCACGAACTGGTTTCTTGTTAAAAAGCTCTAGGATAATCATAGTTAAAATTTGCAGAATGCTTCCTTTGTGCTAGGAACTATACAAAGCACACATCATATATTAGTTCATTTAAATGTCACAACAGTCTGTGAAGTATAGACACTATTGTAAGTGTTTTACAGATGAAGGAGTGGAAGCCCAGATACCAAGTAATATGTTCAAAGTTACACAATTATAATGTCTTGGTGAAAAAATTTCAACCTAAATTGTCTGACTTCAGAACTATCACACTCTTCATGGTTAGTATAAATTACAGCCTGTAATCCGAGCTACTTGGGAGGCTGAGACAGGAGAATCGCTTGAACTTGGGAGGCAGAGGTTGCAGTGAGCCGAGATCGTACCACTGCACTCCATTCCAGCCTGGACAACAGAGCAAGACCTCATCTCAAAAAAAAAAAAAAAAAAAAGCACCTAAAAGAAAAAAAATGTAATTTAAAGAACAGAAAGAAATACATACACAGAGAGAACACCTTAATTAAAATTCACTAATTGCAACAGTGGGTTCTGTTCTAAAAAGGCAGTGATAGCATACTAGAAAAAGCTTTGGTTCTGGAATAAACTCTATGGATTCAAATCCTAGCTCTAATATTTAGTAGCTCTCTGACTTTGGGCTAGTTATATAACCTACCAGTGCCTCGATTTTCTTCTCTATAATATGTGCATAATAACAATCGTTTTCTTCTCTATAATATGTGCATAATAACAATCGTTTCCTCATTAGGTTGCTGTTGGGAATAAGTTAGTTATCGAACGTCAGTGTTTAATATATGTTAAGTATTATTATAATATGTCTTATCTTTCCTTCAGAACTATAAGGTCGATGAAGCAGAAACAATAAACTTACAACTATATGACCTTGTAAATCTTCATGGAAGTAAACATGCTTTTCAAAAAAATAAAAAATAATAAAAATAAATGATAGCAAATGAAATAATAACTAAAAGAATACTTACTTTGTAGCAGCAGCAAAATGTCTGTTGGGCACCTGAACATTTACAGAACAAGGACAAAGTGATGTCTGATAAACCACCTTGAAAAGGCTATGCCTTTGATGACGCATCAATGCTTGAAAGGAAAAAAACATGTACAATATTAACATTAAACAATCATTATATTCATAGTTTTTTAATTTTAAAAATCAGTATTTTCAAACGAAAACATTCAATATTTTGTGATTTTTAATCCTTCTTTTAAAAGTCTAATAATAGAAACCATAGTTCTTGAAACTAAAAGCAGGTAAAGACATCTAATATTTTAATGGTCTTTTTTATTTTTTTACATACAGACAGGGTTTCACTCTGTTGCCCAGGCGGGAGTACAGTGGCATAAACATAGCTTACTATAACCTTGAACTCCTGGGCTCAACTGAGCCCCTCTCCTCAGCCTCTCAAGGTTCTGGGGTTTTCATTTATTTTTAACTTAATTTATTTCATATTCATCAGAGTATGCTAGCTCTATTACTAGGGAATATGTATACATACCCTGAAATTTTTTAAATGATTTACATTTTATGGCCGGGCACGGTGGGTCACACCTGTAATTCCAGCACTTTGGGAGGCCGAGGCCAGTGGATCATGAGGTCAGGAGCTCAAGACCAGCCTGGCCAAGATGGTAAAACCCAGTGTGGTGGCAGGCACCTGTAATCCCAGCTACTCGGGAGGCTGAGGCAGGAGAATCGCTGGAACCTGGGCGGCAGTGAGCCGACATCAGCCACTGCACTCCAGCCTGGGAGACAGAGTGAGACTCTGCCTCAAAAAATAATAAATAATAATAATTTACATTTTATTTGTTTTTTAAATAGATGAGACATTAACAGAGTTGCCCAAGTACTTCTGTATATAAAGACGGGCATTTGAGCTGCCAGAAATAAGAAAAAGGTACACAAGTGTTCAAGGGTATTGTTAATGTTCTATTTTTTAAAGCTTAATAGCAAGTATTAAGAATTTCAGCTATTCTTATTCTTTTTATCTTACATATATTCTTTTGCATGTATAAATATTAGAAATATGTTTTTATTTAAAGATTACAAAAGTAAAGTCTTCTGCCTACCCCTGGACCCCAACTTCTCTGCCATGCTACCAATACCTTACGCATCTTTCTAGAAACATTATATATGCATATAAACACATGGGTACCAAGCCGGGTGCAGTGGCTCACTCCTGTAATCCCAGCACCTTGGGAGGCCAAGGTGGGCAGATCATGAGGTCAAGAGATTGAGACCATGCTGGCTAACACTGTGAAATTCCATCTCTACTAAAAACACAAAAAATTAGCTGAGCGTGGTGGCACACACCTGTAGTCCCAGCTACTCAGGAGGCTGAGGCAGGAGAATCGCTTGAACCTGGGAGGCAGAGGCTGCAATAAGCCAAGATCGCACCGCTGCACTCCAGCCTGAGTAACAGAGCAAGACTCCACCTCAAAAAAAAAAAAAAATATGGGTACCAATATACTTCCCTCCTTTTTTACAAAAATGGTAGCATACTCTACTTATTACTCCATCTTGTTTTTTCACCTAAAAATATTAGAGCCTATTTTCACAAATATACACACATATATATATGAGATGTAGAAGAGACTCTATGTGTGCCTTTCATAAAGGTATGTATACAAGCATATATTTGAGAGACCACTGCATATCATTTATAAAGATTTTATTGCCAGGTGTGGTGGTTCGTGCCTGGAATCCCAGCACTTTGGGAAGTCAAGGCAGGCAAATTGCTTGAGTCCAGGAATTTGAGACCAGCCTGGGCAGCATGGTAAAACCCTGTCTCTACAAAAAAAAAAATACAAAAAATTAGCCAGGCCTAGAGACACACATCTGTAGTTCCAGCTATTCAGGAGGTGGAGGTGGGAGGATCACCTAAGCCCAGGTGGTTGAGGCTACAGTGAGCTGAGCTGTGGTTGCCCCACTGCACTCCAGCCTAAAGGACAGTGAAAACCTGCCTCAAAAAAAAAGCAAAGTACTCCACCATGTGGCTATATTATAATTTACTTAATCAGTGACCAACCTGTAATATTTTACTATTAACAACAGTGCAATGTGAGTAACATTATACAAACATCATTTTGCACAAGTATATTTCTAGCATTTCTAGGCCAGGTGCAGCGGCTCACACCTGTAATCCCAGCACTTTGGGAGGCCAGGGCAGGTGGATCACCTGAGGTCAGGAGTACGAGACTAGCTTGGCCAACATGGCGAAACCTTGTCTCTACTAAAAATACCAAAATATTTGCCAGGCATGGTAGCAACTGCCTGTAATCCCAGCTACTCAGGAGGCTGAGGCAAGAGAATCGCTTGAACCCAGGAGTAGGAGATTGAGGAAAATAAATTCTAGAAGTGAATTTGCTGACAAAGAATATAAACATTTGTAATTTTGATAAATACTGATCCTATATTTATCAGGATCAGGACAATGTATAAATACAGCACTATATACATTTCCCACCAGCAATGAAAAGATCACTTGTTTCTACGCAGTCATGCCTTTTTTGAGACTGAGTCTTGCTCTGTCACCTATGCTGGAGTGCAGTAGCACAATCTCAGCTCACCGCATCCTCCGCCTCCCATGTTCAAGCGATTCTCCTGCCTCAGCTTCCCAAGTAGCTGGGATTACAGGTACATGCCACCATATCCGGCTAATTTTTTATATTTTTCATAGAGACAAGGTTTCACCATGTTAGCCAGGCTGGTCTCAAACTCCTGACCTCAAGTGATCTGCCTGCCTCAGCATCCCAAGGTACTGGGACTACAGGTGTGAGCCACCGCACCTAGCAACATAGTATTAATACGTTACCAAATGTTTTGTTTTTTGCCAACCTAACAGATGAAAGAGTTGTATAATTTGCATTTTTCTAATGAGTTAGGGTGAGTATGTTTTCATCTGTTTGGCCCCCTATATTTTCTTTTCTGTTGAACTGGCTTGAGCTCAATATTTAAAATGAATGCTCTGCAACTAGATTTTCATGTAAAATGACCTTTCCATTAGCTTAAAATTCAGTTCATTAGACAAAATCTTACAACAACTCAAGGTATAGAAATTGTAAGACGTGGTCTATATATCAAGTGAATTCATTTTGGTAAGTTAAGTTTCCAAGTGTACAGCATTGTGCATGCAGAATAATTACAGAATCCTTACTATGGTCCAAAGGCTCTATGTGAGCTGGCCCCTACCTACCACGTAATAGTCCTCTCCCACTTGCTCATTGTGAGCCCTTTTGCTTATCCTTAAACCTATCGAGGTATAACAATTTCTGCCACAGGGCATTTGCATTTAATGCTATATTTGTCTAGGATGCACCATCTCCAGATCTTTCCATGGCCTGCTCCTCGTTTTGTTTTTGTTTTTTTTCCCCTTTTTGAGACAGGGTATTGCTGCTTCACCACAAGCTGGAGTGCAGAAGCATGATCACAACTCACTGTAGCCTTGGCCTCCATGGCTCAAGCAATCCTCCTGCCTCAGCCTCCTAGGTAGCCGGGACTATAGGTGTGCATCACAAGCCAAACTAATTTTTGAGTTTTTTGTGGAGACTGGGTCCCACCATATTGCCCAAACTCCTGGGCTCAAGGGTTCCTCCTTTGGGTTCCATCCCAACGCTTTGGCCTCCCAAAGTGTTGGGATTATAGGCATGAGCCACCATGCCCAGCCTACTCCTTTTAATATCAGCTCAAATGTCATTAAAGCTACATGCTTAACAACTCAATTTCATCTCTAATCTTCCAAGCTGAAATACAAGATAATCACCAAAACTGTGAATTCTGTGAACATATATATAGGAGTGACAGCTGAGGCAGTGTAAGAGACCTACATACCATTGAGAACTCTTTGCAGCAGAAAAGCCACAAAGGGCTACAATGGCCAGGAAGAAAAATTGAAACAGACTAACAGGTCCAGTTCCTGTCCTCAAGAATCTCAAATTTAGTGGGCTATGCTGTTTTGCAACAGCTAGAAGAAGATGATACACATTTTTAAAGAAGCCAGTTATCTTGAAAAATCACATATGGTAAATGAAGGAAAAGAAAATTACCCATTCAAAGCTTGGCAAACACTTCCAAACAATTCTAGTTATACTAAACAAGAACCTAACAGCCTTGGAAATCCCAAAATAATAATTATCTTGGAGAAACAAATAAAAAAATCTCTTGAACACATCAACTGCAATCTGCTATTTTAAAAAATCAAGGCCAGTCATGGTGGCTCATGCCTGGAATCCCAGCACTTTGGGAGACTGAGGCAGGAGGAACCCTGGAGCCCAGGAGCTTAAGCCCAGCCTGAGCAATAGAGTGGGACTCTGTCTCTACAAAAAAATTAAAAAATTAGCCAGGTGTGGTGGAGCATGGCTGTAGCTCCAGCTACTCAGGAAGCTGAGGTGGGAGGATTGCATGAGGTGGCAGGATCACTTGAGCCAGGAAGGCTGAGGCTGCAGTGAGCTCTGATCTCACTACTCCACTCAAGCCTGGGTGACAGAAACCCTGTCTCAAAAAAACAAAACAAAACAAACAACAAAAAACAAGCAAACAAAAACATTACTATCAGTAATTACAGACAACAAGAAATTACAATTTTCAACAGAAACCAAACTGCTACAGACAGAAAGAAGCCAAATACCACGTTTTAAATAGCACTGTTTGATCATGATATCCATATTTTCAATCCTTTTGTAGTCAATTTGTCCAGCAGTATTATTTTATCTCCTTTATTAATACACACTTTTCCCCTCACTCTTAGCATATAACCTCACTTGCTACTTCAGAGAAAACAGCCCTCAGAACTTCCTGAACTACTGAGTCTCCCTGATCCTGTGCTCATTCTCAAAAGTCTCTGCCACCGCTTGGCAATGAGATAGAAACAACTCTATCTCCTTTCTTATTCTCTTTTAAGATAGTGAAAGGTTAGAGTTCTCTTGAGGTCAGTCCTAAACTGACTTCTCACCTAACTAACTCTCATTCTCCTTAGGGGATCTTATCCATCTATTCTTGCCTTCCTGCCACAACCATCACAGTCCAGGCCACCATCACCTACTATCTGGATTATTACAACAGCCTCTAAACTGTTCTTTCTTCTACA